CACAGAGTGAGACACAGAGTGAGACACAGAGTGAGACACAGAGTGAGCGATAGATAGAAAGATAGAAAGAAAGAGATGAGAGTGCAAGAAAGTGAAAAGAGTGAGAAAGAAAGAGGGAGGAAAGAGAAAAAGGTGTTGGAAGAAAGAGAGGAGAATTGAGACAGTGGAACAGGTGAGAGGAAGACATTTTGAAGAAGTGAAGCCATTGTATTTCCACAATGTCCAGTTTATGGTCAACAACATACAAAGAATGACAAGGTTTTGGAGGGTACTTTAAAACGGTGCAGCAAAGACTCTGCAATCATAGTGCTCAGCCTTTAGCTGTGAAATTACAGGGAGTGCTGTTTACCTTCCCCAGGACGCTGTCCATAGAGTTACATGAGACAGGATGTTGCAATTAACAGCTATCACAAAGCACCCTAATGGGTAACACAGAGGTGACTTCAAGCATTCTAAACTGTAAACTGCTTTTTCCCCTCCCTGATTAGTGCCCTTGAGGTGTAAATCTGTTTAAGTTATTCTGGAAGTTTCCATTCATGTTTGGAGAAGATTAAATCATTCTGTACATCACCTGCTCACGTTCATCACTTTACACACAGGCACTAAATCACTAACCTGTGCCTCAACACCAAAGTAAAAGATTTACAACTCAACATTTTGTAACAATGTAAAACATTTGTTACTTGGGAGTAGAAACCTTTGGGAATAGAAACATGAGTCACTAAATCCAATTTCATCCTCAGCTTGGATTTAAAAGTTTGGAGAACTTAATTCAAAAAAGACTTGCATTTCTACATCCCACCTTACTTGAGCACCAGAGTTCTCAAAAGCCTTTACAGGCAATAACGTCAAAGTGTCATCAGTATCGTACAGTACCATAGGCAGCAGCTATTTTGGCTCAGCAAACAGTAATGTAACAAGACCAGATCATTTTTTTTCTTTCAAAAGAGGACACAAATCAAATACCAGAAACGTTGAAGAATGCAAGATTTAGTGAGAGGGAAGAATTGAGGGAGATCAATATTAGTAGAGAAATGGTGCTAGGAAATTTGATGGGATAGAAGGTGGATAAATCCCTAGGGCCTGATAATCTATATCCCACAGTCCTTAAGGAAGTGGCTCTGGAAACAGTGGATGTCATCTTCCAGGATTCTATAGACTATAAATTCTATAGACTCTGGAACAATCCCTGCAGATTGGAGGGTGGCTAACGTCACTCCAATGTTCAAAAAGGAAGGTAGAGAGAAAACAGGGAATTATAGACCAGTAAGCCTAACATCGGTAGTGGCGAAAATTCTCAAATCCATCATCAAGGACTTTATACCGGAGCATTTAGAAAGCAGTGGCAGGATCAGACAGAGTCAGCATGGATTTATGAAGAGAAAATCATGCCCAACAATTCTGTTAGAATTCTATGAAGATGTAACTAGTAGAGTTGACAAGGGGAAGCCAGTCGATATGATATATTTGGACTTTCCAGAAAGCATTTGACAAAGTCCCACGTAAGAGATTAATGTTAAAGATTAAAGCGCATGGGATTGGGGAAGTTATTGAGATGGATGGAAAACCGGTTGGCAGAGAGGAAACAAAGAGTAGGAATTAATGAGTCCTTTTCAAATTGTCAGGCAGCAACTAGTGGGGTGCCACAGGGATTGGTGCTGGGACCCCAGCTATTCATAAAATATATTAAATATTTGGATGAGGGAACAAAATGTAACATCAAAGTTTGCAGAAGATACCAAGTTGGGTGAGAGGGTGAACTGTGATGAGGATGCAGAGATCCTGCAGCATGATCTGAACAGATTGGGTGAGTAGGTAAATCAATGGCAGATGCAGTATAATTTGGATAAATATGAGGTTATTCACTTCAGAAGCAAAAACAAGAAGGCAGATTACCATCTGAATGGCTGTACATTGGGAGAGAGGAGTGTGCAGTGGGACCTGGGTGTCCTTGTGCACCAGTCACTGAAGGTAAGCATGTAGGTGCAGCAGGTGGTAAAGAAGGTAAATGGTATGTTGGCCTTCATTGCGAGAGGTTTCGAGTACAGGAGCAGAAATGTGTTGTTGCAATTATACAGGGCCTTGGTGAGGTCACACCTAGAATATTATGTGCAGTTTTGGTCTCCTTTTCTGAGGAAGGAAGCTCTTGCTCTCGAGGGAGTGCAGCAAAGGTTTCCCAGGCTGATTCTGGGGATGTATATGAGGAGAGATTGACTCGGTTGGGATTGTTTTTGCTGGAGTTTACACCAATGAGGAGGGGGGATCTCATACAGACTTATAAAATTCTAAAAGGTTTGGACAGGGTAGATGCAGGGAGGATGTTCCCAATGGTGGGTGTGTCCAGAACCAGGGATCACAGTCTGAGGATTTGGGGTAGACCATTTAGGACGGAGATGAGGAGACATTTCTTCACCCAAAGAGTGGTGAGCCTAAGCACTTCATTATCACAGGAAGTCATTAATGCCAAAACATTGAATGCACTTGAGGTGACTAGATATAGCACTTGGAGTGAATGGGATCAAAGGTTATGGGAAGAAAGCAGGATTAGGCTATTGAGTTGGATGATCAGTCATGATTATGAAGAATGGCGGAGCAGGCTCGAAGGGCTGAATGGTCTCCTCCCGCTCCTATCGCCTATGTTTCTATGTTACATTGAGTTGATGATCGAGATATAAATGGTGGTCAGGAAACTGGCAAGAAGTCTCCTTCTCCTCTTCAAAATAGTCCTACAGAGGTTTTTACAGGCACAGACCAGCAGCTGGACCCTCAGCGTGAAGTGTTGACAGATTGGTAAGCCAGGAGCTGTGCTCCCTCTAATTTTCTCACCAGCTGCACAGCCTCTAAGTCCAGTGTGTAGCAGCAATTTTCAGGTCTGGACATTAATGCCACAATCCATGTGCCCGAGAGGACTCCAAAGGCAGAACCTTGTGATTCTGAGACGATACATTCTGGGTGGCACGGTGGCTCAGTGGTTAGCACTGCTGCCTCACAGTGCCAGGGACCCGGGTTCAATTCCAGCCTGAAGCGACTGGCTGTGTGGCATTTGCACATTCTCCCCACGTCTGCGTGAGTCTCCTCTGGGTGCTCCGGTTTCCTCCCACAGTCCAAAGATGTGCAGGTTAGGTGGATTGGCCATGTTAAATTGCTCATATAGTGTGCAGGTTAGGTGGGTTAGCCTTGGGAAATGCAGAGTTATAAGGTTAGGGTGGGTGGGGTGCTCTTTGGAGGGTGGATATAGACTCAATGGGCCGAATGGCCTGCTTCCATGTTGTACGGGTTCTATGATTCAAAGTGCATCACCTCACACTTCTCTGCATGATTCTATGAAACAGGACTGTGTGACTCGCAATATTCTTTTGCTGAAGAATTACACAGACAGCAATGGAGAATCGAGGCAAGCGATCTAAGCGATGCACATTTGAGCAATAGTCTCAGATGCTCAATAACTTCCTGCCTTCAGTTTTAGCAAAGGGACACGGTAATGGTCATTAGGCGGACCTAGTGACAGAGTAGTTATATCACTGGGTCTCATAACTCAGCCAAAGCCCTTGAGGTCATGGGTTCAAGTCCCACTACAGCAGCTAGCGGAATATAAATGAATAAATCTGGAATTGCGACCATGAAACTATCATAAATTATTTTAAAAACCTCATCTGGCCTCTACACGACTCCAGACCTACAGAGGCGTGAAAATGATCTGAGCCTGAGTTCGAGGGCAACGAGAGATGGGCATCAATGCTGGCCTTGCTATTGGATCACACAGAAGGATAAAAAGGATAAAAACAATGACAAGGGCTTTGGTCACCTTATACAGAACAGGGCAGGGGCTTGGTGTACTGACCGGAAGACAGACAGACAGACACAGACACAGACACAGACACACACAATGATGACAATGAATTATAGAATCCCTACAGTGTGGAAGCAGGCCATTCAGCCCATCAATGCCTCACCGACCCTCCGAAGAGCATCCTTTCTAGTTCCACCTCTCTACCCTATCCCTGTAAATCTGCATTTTCCCATGGCTAATCCACCTAGCGTGGACTTGGACTTTGGGCCTCAGCGTAGCGAACTCTCAACGTGTCACAATGGCCTCTCAATCCAACATGGCTTCCACATGGACTCCCAGCCTCAAGGTGAAACCTGGCATGGTCAGGAGGCTAAGAATTTTCTCTAAGAATTTGTACTTAAGAATCTGTACCTTTGTGCCTGAGAGAACACCATAAGCAGCAATTTGCGAACTTTCCACTGTACTCATGTGAGTGCATGTGACAAGAAAGCTAATTCTAACACACACGCACGCGTGCGCGCGCACACACACACACAGCTTCGACACCAAATATATCATTAACACACTCTTCAGCACACCACCTACTTC